TGAGTTGGTTTATTTGTTTGTTATATGCATGCAGGGTACAGTGTTACCTCGCTACATGTTTCTACATATGTGCATATTACACTTTGGTTCGGGGTAGCAACTGTGGCAGCAGTGTATATATTTTCCATGAAGGCTGCTACCGCAGCTTCAAGATCGTCTGGATGGTTGATGACAGCGTTGAGGTTAATGCTTCTGTCCAGGGATTCCTTAAACTTTTCAATAGAGGAGACGGGCGGTAGTTTTGATTTTCTTTTGGCCTTTCATTGCGGTCTTTAACTTAGCATTGCGATGATAGCCAAATGATCCGAGGACAGCTCGTATTTGGATTCGATCGAAAGTTTGTTGAGTGGTAACCCATTTACGACGAAGAAGGCCAGGGCTGTTGGTGTGAGCCTGGTATTTGAGGAATAAAAAGTAGTAGCCAGTAGCTAAAACTTCACATGAGCTTGAAACTATGGCCTCTTGAAGACGCTTTCCCAGGCAACAAGACCTTAAATTTCCCCACCATTGATGGTTGGCATTAAAGTCACTTTTAGCCTAGAGAAACTAGTAGCTGGTCAAACTCGGTTTTTTTCCAAGGCTTGCTGGGCGGAAGATACAAGGAAGCTATTTTAAGTACACCTCCATTTGTAAGAATATCAATGCAAGCTAGCTATATGTTCTCGTTGTGGGCTCATTCTGTGTGTGGATAATGCCGGTCTTGATAAGGATAGCAGAGCCGGTGTTGCTAGGGTGATTAGCAAAGTATTGGTCATAACCAGGAAGTTATGTGTGTCTCGGTAATGAGCATTATTACTATTGAGTTTTCAATAAGGAAAAGACGAATTTCTTCACTTTTCTGAACTATACCTCTTGCATTCCATAATCCGATTTTTATTTTTAAGAATGTCATTTCCTAGAATTTAAAACCTGAACTAGATCGCGAAAAGCCTTGTTCGACTCAATCGTTTCCATGACTAGTTTGAAGTGTTGATCCCACCAAGTGTTAATATCGACGATTGCCTTCTCCAAGGTATACAAATTCCTTTTGGGGTTCCGGTCGCCTCCAGGTATATGCGCGGCAGATTACGGAGCTGCAGCGCTGGTACTGCTCGGAAGAGCAATTTCTGGATAAGAAACGCCGTCTCTGGTGGCTGACATGGAGAATAGTTGTCCGTGTCGGCTTTCGTTGGTCTTGCTGTTTGTTGAGTTGCTTAGCCTGATTCCAGATTTTAGTTTCCTGCTTAGTTCCATCCTGACTTTGCAGCCTTTAAAACCTGCAGGGTGATTTTTTCCGCAGCTTGCACACATACATTGGTTGTCAAGGATTGCCTTGCACGATTTGGAGCTAGTAGGATGATCTCCGGCACAATTCCCACCCACAGGCTTTATGAAGCAACAATTTTGAGTGTGTCCAAAATTTGTATAACATTGGATGCATTTATAACGTTGGACGAGGTCCTTATTTCGAGTAGCCTTTCCCACTGTAACTCTGTGCTTTCCAATTTGTTTAATTTTAAGCGACTCGGCGACTTTCGTAGTCTTCTTGAGATTGACATAAAATAGATTTTATCTATCATCAACATTAGCGTCGGCCGTAGTGTTGCGAGTGCCAGGCTTTCTTGGACAGTTAATATTCACTTCGTTGAAACCTTTGTCCGTGAAGTAACGTTCTATTTCCTTCTTTGGAACTGTTTAATGTATGTTCCTTAGCACCAGCTTAAATGGCTTGCCCTCACGTAGTTGATGATGCCAAAACTCGCAATTTAAAGCAGTCAGGTTACGAACCACCTTGCGGAATGACTCTGCACAGTAAGTTTATATGCGAATAGTATAGTATAGAATAGTTAACCGTAAGTTAATTCCGAATTTAGATGTACGAATCTCATAACTACTTGCTGCAATGATTTCATCAAGAGTTCGTTCCAGAGTGAGGATGTCAGTGACCTTTGGAACACATATGGGTGGAGGTTTTTGGTTTGAAATTTGCGCTTGGCCAATAGGATCAGTCGTCTCCTCATTTGTCTCCATCTCCTCAATTGGGTTCGTTTTCTCAGCGAAAGGTGCGAAGCGGTTGTTGCGAAGTCCATTGGAGGTCGAAGCTTGATTTAAATGGCCAATTTTGGCATTGTTTACATTTCCCTTAGTCTTCTTTACGTCGTCTTTTTCTTTACCGCAGCTTGGAGGGTTTCGTTTCCTGCTACGAGAAGTACTTGGTGCTTGAAACGAGCACTCCATAGCGGGTAATATCGGAAGATTGTTGGTTCTTAAAGGCACACCCGTTTCTGCTGAAGAAACTGGGCTGCTATATGAAGAAGCTGTAACGGTGTACGTGGTGGTGCCCGAACTGGCACTCATTGCTGTAACGCTGTTAGTTACAGGTGTTGCTGAGCTGGTTTTAACAGCGTCTGAATTTCGATGACCAAGGGCGTCCAATTGCCGTTGAGGCAAGTCTCTTGCAAGATTGGCTCAAAGTTCAGCTGGAGATTGGCCAGCATTTTTCTTCATCTTCTCAAATCCGGGTAGCTCTTTCTGAAGCGGCAGATAAGAAAGTATTTTGTTAACCATTTATTAATTAACTATGGTTTTCGATTACGAAAATTATATAAATTAAATTCAAAATCTTCAAAAGTCTTTGCTTTTTATCTCTCGCTGGGCAGTGGAAGCGCAAGCGAGAGACAAGACCGAGCCCAAGGCGAAAATTCGTACACAGCGCTTGCACTATGCTCGAGTGGTAAATAAGTCGGACTCGGTAAAGAAGAATTGATTACGCGCAGATAAGCACAACATAAGATGTTGAGGATCACTATCTGGTTGCTAATTAGGAGCTTAACACGACCGTACGATATAAGAGCACAAACTCGTCTGATTTTCACAAACTTAATAGCCTTATCCATTCATTTGATTGGTCCAACGTTCTGGCATGCACCGATGAAAATGTACCCTTGGAAAAATTTAACCATACTTCTCATACATTTTTGACTCATGTGTGCCATGGAAATATCCTTCCGCTTCAAAAAAACAGGCTCTTAATAAAATATAAAAAACCTGCAGTAGTATAGACTTTTCATGATATCTACTAGCTCGGTCAAATTTTACCTGTAACAGTTATACGCATGCATTCAATCAGAATATTTTATTTTCTGTTCGTTTTTATCCGAGAATAGCATATTATCTGATCTTCTATGGGTTAAACCCGTATATTCGCCAGGCACCTATGCAGCTTCATAGACTTTTCAACTTATCTTTGAAAAGGAATCTTTCATAATTTCTTACATAAAAAAGGGGAAATGTCCGATGCAAATGTACATTCCCGCTTGGTCTGTGCTAGACCTGAGGTCCCTCAAGGAAGTCAACTTGACCCGTTACTGTTAACCTTTTTATTAAAGGCTTGCACTCTGCTTTTAGGAACTCTCTAGTTCTCATGTATGCAGATGATGTTAAGCTTTGTCTTTAATACAAATCCGAGTATGCCCAATGCAATTTTCAGTCCGATCTAGAACATTTTCAATGCTTTGTTGTTGTTTCTTCAATATCGGAGTGGGATCCTTGTGTCTCTTTCTCTTTTGGCGTAGAACTCGGTGCTTGTTCCATTTTTTCTTCAAAGTTTTTTTTTCACTGCGCCTTTGTACTATTACATATGTAGCTATCAAATTCAACGGGGTGGCAATACTTCAATTGCGAATTTCTCGATTGCATCATCTCTTCAGCGTGAGCAAAAATCTGAATTTTATAATTTAATAAGAACTTTCTGAAATTAATAAAAATGTTGGGTGGCGGATATTCATTAAATTTTTTGAATACTTTAATTTAACAATAGGCCATAACTGGCCGACGCCTTATTATTTTCTCCATAGAAAAACTAACAAAAAAAACCGTGACGTATAAGAATAGTTTTAAATGTGTAAATTTTTTCTTTTTTCCGAATATTTTTATTGTAAACTATTGAAGTTTTTTAAAATATTGCTTTATTATGTCAACGTAAATCATTTTAACTTGAATTCGAAAAAAAGAATTGAAAATATTGTGGGGTTTTAAAGTAAGGTCAGTCTAAAAAACACGGGTCGCGGTGACCAAATCTGGATCGTGTGAGAAGTCAAAAAATGAAATAAATTTACATCTGTTGAAAGTTTATCTAGTACTAAACTTTCTTTACTACTTAGTACTAGTAATAAAAATTTGACAAAAATATTTGAAACAAGAAAGAAAAGCTATCTTGTGACGGAGCCGAAGTTATATACCCTTGCAGTTAAAAACGGATGTACTATATCGCAAAAATCAAGTATACATAGTTGGCCGATCATTATGAGAATATCATAATATAACCAATTTATAACAATACAAAACTAAAAGAAAGTCCCAAACTTCATTCTTCAAAAACTCGAAAGTTGCGTCATTGCCGATTGTTTAGTTATATGGCAGCTATAAGATATAGTCGTCCGATCCTTAAGAAATTTTGGTGGGTCGTATTATTTTACCAAAAAAAGCACTCATGCAAAATCCGAATTCCGATTCCCTCATGCAACAAACTCTCTAACTCTAAAAACACCAAAGTTATACCATTTCCGATCAATTAGTTATTTGTTAGCTAAAATAGTCGGCCGATCTCGGCCGTTCCGACTTATATACTGCGTGCAAAGCAGAGATCCTTAAGCAAAGTTTCAAGTTGATAGCTCTAAAACTGAAACTTAAAACTTCGCGTAGAAACAGACAGACGGACAGGCTTATATAATTCCGGAAGTGATCCTGATCCAGAGTATATATACTTCATAGGGTCGGAGATGTCCCCTTCACTGCGGCCAACTATATTCGATATTTGCGGCATATTTCTGCTCTAAACTGCAAGGCTATTACAACAACCAAATTAAGCTTTCCTTTATTGTTTTTTTTTTCATTATCTACATTTTATAATATATTATTTACATAATATATTAATAAACAAGGTAATAAAGCTTTCAGAAATTAGTCTCAGAAAATTATATTTAACATTTCAAACCCTAATAAACGTTTACATTTTGCAGATGGCATACTATACGGGAGAGTGATAATGAAACCCTTGAACATATGGTTGCCTCTGGGAGAGCAAAAACAAAGGACGGGACTCTGATAATATTAGCCGTTTTAAAAATTGATAAGGGAGATTTTTTTTGCACAGTGACCAATTCAGAGGGAACGGAAATTTTCAAACTAGAACTTTCTGTAACATCACCTCTAAGTACAATAATAGAGCCCAGCATACAAACTGTTAGTCTTGGCCACACTGCCGATTTAGTGAGTAAAGTATATCCCCCATTTTTAACATCACAAATAAATATTAATTTATCTTAGATATGTAGAACGTTTGGATTTCCGCAACAAAATATTGTTTGGTTGAAAGATGGAAACATATTGCGAACTGGCTCTCGTGTACGACTTTTATCAAATGAACGTATTCATTTTTCCCCTATAATTAAAGAAGACAAAGGAATGTATCAATGTGTTTTAAAAAATGATTGGGAGTACACTCAGAGCTCTGCTGAATTCCGATTAGGAGGTAATCAAATATAATTGTATAAATATGATGATAAAACTAAATTTTTGCACAATTTATTTTATGATAGTAGTAAAGTAAAAAATCTTTCATCAAACTAACAATATGGAATTATGATAGTCGTTTTTCTTGACTATTTTGTAGCTGGTTTACATTTTTTTTCAAGTTTTTTTCGATTGAGATTCTTCAAACTAAGTTTTTTTCATACTTCTAAATTCCTCCTACATTCACAAGAATACAATAAGTGAATATTGTTGATCTAATTTTAAGTTTATTTAACGCATAATTTACCTAGCTCCACAACCTTTTGCTCGCCTAAGTGTTAATAAAACATAAGTTCCATAACATACAGTTTCCAGTGTACACACAAGGAAGAAATTGATAAAATTGTACCATATACATATTTAATTTTGTAGGCCGTATTATTGCATTGACCATCATTTTTTTAGTCCAAAACGATTTCTAAATAAAATTTATAACTTCAGTAATAAGAAATATCTTCCATAGAACGATTTGTGGATATAATTCATAAAACACTAACACAATTAAACATAATTGAAGAATTAAATTTAAGACGCGGTTACCCAACATAGGTAACTTCTACTTGTAGATGCCAGTTAGAAATTTTACTTGGAACACACACATGGTAAAATTGACATGGGCTCCAAAAACGCTTGTAAACGTAATTATACGGCCTACATAATTATATATGTATACGTATATTCTTATCTTCCTTTAATTTAGGAAATTTTAAAATTTTTAAAATTTTAATTTAGAGCAGTGGGGGGCAAACTCTCATTTTGAATAGCACGCGTGCATAGGGTCGGAAATTCTGCCGCTCAGTGCTTTGATTTTTGCAATACTCTGCTCTCACTGTTTTTTTCTGTTACGCATACATTCCAATTTTAAACGTGTGTGCGTTTTTCCCCCTACTGCTCTAAAATTTAGAATCTAAATCAGTGGTGCCCAAGCTCTGCATACGGAAGAGCAAAATCCCATATCAATGCAAAAAATCACCAATACATTGGTGCGAAATATTTTTTCCCATCCATGTGGCTGCACTGAAAAATAAAATTAAAGTAACATTCACAAGGGATTTAAAAATATCACTATAATAAAAAATACATTTTATTACAGAAATTAAAAAAAGGCCCTACATATTTTACAACAGCTTATTATTATACTATGACCAAATATGCAGAGCTTCTTAGTTTAAAAAAAAATGTTCTGCGAAGAACAAATTCATCGCTACAGGTCGACCATTTTGGCAGAAACAAAAATAAGAACAAATTTCTTGCAGTGAAAAGTTTTCGGCACTCCAACAACAAAATTCATTCGGATTAGTACGATTGAGGAGAATAGGGAAAACACGAAAAATTGTTATTGTAATTGCCCTTTGCTTATGATGGGACCAACGATGCTTTATGGCGTGAGCAACGAATCTTATGGCGTAAGCAGACTCACACAACTCGGTAGGCATGAGCATTTGCAAAAACAAATGAGCAGCGAGAGCAATGGTATGAGTACCACTGGTCTAAATTTTGTGCTTTCAAATCTTCTATTTGTTTGGCCAAGTGAGCTAATTCTTCTGTATGATTATTAAAAGGTGGCTTTAGAGGGTCCCAAGACATTCTCGAATTTTACTTTATTTCTCCTATTTAAGCCGAAGCTATTGTTTCTTGACTATCAGTTTCAATAATATACTGAGAAATTCGAATTTTATCATCGGTCCGAGCTGTACATTCTGAACTGATTTTAAATATGCTTTATTCCGGAAAATCAATAATCTGAATTTAGGATTGGCCATATTGGAGCCTCAATTTCTTGTTTTCCTCAAGTTCAATGCTTAAACTTTAAGCAACCAACTACTTCTTTTTTCTAGCTCTACCCAAAAGGAAATTGATGATAGTTTTTTGTTTGTTTTGTTGTTTGCCACTTTTGGTATTTATTAATGGTAGAGTCCGTCATTAAGTGGTATGAATATATTTCAAAGTAGTACACTAAATACAATTGAGTCAATGTGAGCTAGGATAGTTTGATTTTCTTGTCTAAATGGAACAGGAATAACCCTATACAGTTTAGATGCATGCCGCCAAAACAGGGTCTTCGAACAATCTTCTTGCCGTAAGTAAGGTGTATACATCCATTAGTTCTGCACCTGATCTTTTCCCTGGCGAATCAAATTTTCGGATAGGACGTCCTTAAGCTATTTCAGTTTTAAGCTGACTTGGGCGCAAAATGTTGGTGTTAGGCCTTCCATGGTTAATATCAATTAACAGGCTTATGATGCATGCTTGCATTTTTTCACATTCATCGTTCAAACTACTCAATTTTGTTGTTACCATAAAGAATTTAATAGACTCGTAATATAAATAAGTATACGTAATACGACTCTTGCAGAATCCTTTAGTACTAATATTTTTTATTCTTTTGTTCATACTTTTGCAACTTGAATTAACTTCTTCCGTAGTTTTCTTTAGAATATTAGTAGTAGATTCGACTAACGAGAACGAGTGCTTTTGAGAACCATATCGCTTCACGAGTCCTGTGACATATTTGGGGACGAAATAATAATTTATTTAATTTTAAACTAAGCATAGCTCGTCTCGGCTTCTTCCTCTTCTTTTCTTTTTTTTTTTGTGAAACAAAGGTTTTAATCTCTATTTCTGCGTTTTCCTTTAACCACTTTAATCACTCTCTTCAAAGCTCCCATATTAGCTCTATTTGGCACAGTAGTTCAAAGTAACTTTTTATATTTTTAATATTAAAATGGAATTCAAATTTGGCCGGGATCACTGCCTCAGTTTCGGATGCCATTTCCTGTAGGTTTGGTCTCCATTATTTTTGCGATAACTGTCGTGCTGTCCAGGACGAAATGACATCGTTCATCAGAAAAGAACGGATTTAAAGATTTTGTTTAAAAAAAATCAATGACTCTGCGCGCTTGACAATTAGCTTAACGGCCTTCAGCTGCTAGTGATCAGCTTCAGCCTTCTCAGCCGACAATAACGCTGCCTCTCATATACCTGGCTACCCCAAGGGATAGAACTGAGAACAAGTCGCCGTCCGAATATCTCAGTGCTATTAATGGTCCAATGTGTCTTCCGTCCCTTCGAGTAATACAACGGGTCCAAGTGAATGAAACCCCCGACCACCGGTACTGACTGATCCTGCAGTCTTCGTAGCTGCCACACCAAAACAGGTGATTTCTCCATAAAAAAATATATTTGTTTCTCAGCCTACCCCTGCTACTTCAGAGATTAATATCACGGCTTATATCATAGCCAAAACAAATACCGATATAAAGGTGAAGGACATGGCTGAATATAAATACAAATATATAAGGCGCACGTCTTCTTTCAAGATTCGTGTGCTCTCGCTGATGTTCAAGACGATTTGGTTACTCAGTTTTTGGCCAGAGAACATTCGCCCTGAACATCAGCCTAGTACCGTAATGAAACAAGTTTTAAGACAAGTGGGAGTGAAACTTCTTCCTTCTACTTCTTCTTCGTCCACTAAATTAAAAATCGTCACTAACAATTATTTATCAGAATACTAGGGGGCTACGTAGCAAACTTCCTAAACTATATTCTGATAGTTCTATCTCTGGATCCCTTATTATAGCCTTTACACAAACTTGGATAAAGCCGGAGATCTTTACCTCCGAAGTTTTTCGAAGTAAGTAAACCCCTTTTAGACGCCATCGACCTCTGCAAAAGAGGGGTGGAGTCCTCATTTCGGTAGACTCCCTACTTGCTTCTGATGAGGTGAAATCACAAGAGTGTTGTGACTTCGAATTTAATTGCATTAAAATATTTTTGTCCGCTAAATCTTTATACAATACCTGTTCATATATAACGCCTTTGTCTGAACCGCCCACATACTGGAATCATTTGTCGGCTATTCAATCCGTTTTTAATCTTATGACGGAACGTGACCAACATGTAGCTCTGGGAGACATTAATGTCCCAGAATTAAAGTGGTGTAATGTCGATAACTTATCACGTGGTATGATTTCACCGCGGTCATATTTGACATGTCCCTGGGTCAAATAAACCATGCTAGAAATTCGTTAGGTCGGCTATTAGAGCTTAGTCCTGAGCTGTGCCCCGTTTAACCCCAGAGGATCCATATCGCCCCACGCTTGAGGCTTCAATTAAAACCATTTTTGGTATCGATCAGAAGTTTCCTTGCGTAAAAAATGTCACATTTTTTCAGAAATTGGGTTGGAACAAGTTTTCTCTATAAAAAAAAATATAAATAGGGAAGCGTAGTTTTTTATTTGTTTAAAAACTGTTACTAGAAAAGCTTTCTTTAAAATAAAATATACTATTTTAGTGCACTTTAGTGCTGCTACGCATACACTCAAATTTTAAAATTTGTGCGTTTTGCCCCTCACTGCTTAGTCACTGCTGAATCGTTATATTTTATCCTCATGCAAAATAATCGTATAAAGCTCAATTATTAATTTCGGTATTTTTACTTTTGGAGTATCAACATAGCCTTGAAAAATCTCAAAGGTTGAAAAAACCTTATAACCTTAAAAAATTTAATATCGGTCTTTATAATTTCAATTTCAAATGAAGACCGTCCAAGACTACCAGGTCTTGCGAAATTCATTCTTGATGAGAATCTGAAAGATCCCAAAATATGGAATTTAATTGGCATTGAACTGGTAAATAAGACTCTTGTTAGGGAACTCTAGAAGCATACATTTTTAAAGAAAAGCTTTATATTTTTCTTGCAAAGTTATTAAAAGATGCCCTAGGAACTATCAAGGCAAAGTAATTATGGCAAAGCTATCGCTAGTCTGAAAGCTGGAGTTTACGATAACAAATGTCTTTTCTTTGGGAAAAAACTTATTCAGCCTTCCGAAAGTTTCGCAGCCATCTGTGTCATCATTTTAACCGTCGAACTACCGAACTGAGCGGACGTGCTTTGTCCGAGCTCCGGGAAAACTGGACCATAATACAGCTAATCAAAAAACTGGGGTTACCCAATAT